AAGCCCAAAGATATGACTTCCAAGAGAGGGGAAGCTCTATGACCGACTCCAACTATTCATGCATGAGAGTGGACTTCCCTAGATGGGAAGAAGGAGACCCGATTGGTTGGATCTCGCGCGCGGAGCGATATTTTCGGTACCATAAAACTGCGGATGCATCTATGGTGAAAATTGCAGCTATACATCTTGAAGGGGATGCTATACAGTGGTTTGACTGGTTTGAACATACTTATGGAGTCCTTTCATGGCGACAATTCAAAGAAGGACTGCTGATCCGCTTTAGACCAACCGATTACGAGAATATTGACGGACAACTAGCAAAGATCCGACAAACCTCCACCATTCAGGAGTGCCAAACCAGGTTTGAAAGGTTATCTAATCAAACTCGTGATTGGTCTCAAAAACAGCTATTGAGGACCTTCATTGAGGGCTTAAAGTCGGAGATCCGAGGAGAAGTTAAAGCGCGACAACCGTATACGCTTATGTCAGCCATCTCTTTCGCACGACATCAAGAGGAGCAATTGAACCATGAAGCTCGGAGGACTAGTGTCGCTCCTCAACCAACAATATTGAAGCCCTTAGCCCCCCTTACTGTCGACCGAGTCCCTACACCAAAAAGGTTAATAAGAGAAGAGCTTCGGGAGCGATATGCGAAGGGGTTATGTTGGCATTGTGACGAGCCGTGGAGCCGTGAGCATCGCTGTAGTAAAGGGAGACTTCTTATGATTGAACCAATAGAGGAAGAGGTCATTGAACATCCAGAAGAGAGCCTTGAACAAGAAGAAGAAGATGCAGAAGAAGAGCCACAACCGACCGAAGTTACGGTACATACACTAGCTGGCTACTCAAACCCGCAAACGATGAAAGTTGGAGGCCTTCTCAAACAACAACCGATCACTGTTCTCATCGACACGGGCAGCACTAATACCTTTCTAAATAGTAAGGTTACTATCCAGATGGCCTTACCTATCGAGAATTGCAGCAGGTTTGACGTTAAGGTCACAAATGGATGGATTTTGAAGTATGATCGTAGGCGCCCGCAAGTGAAACTGTTGCTGATCATGAGGCCTTACCAAGAGATAATTGCATATTTCTTCCTTCTCCTTCTTGATGATCATGAGGCCATGCTCAAAATTAAATTGTTGATGACATTAGGTGATATTTCTTGGAATTTTATGTAATTAATTATGAAATTTTACAGTAAGGAGAAACAGGTGATACTGAACGGGAAACGTGGGGGCGACGTAACGACGATTTGCACACAACAAAATGAGAAGGTTTTGCATAAAGTATACAGCGGCTTTTTGGTACAACTTGAGCAGCAAACTAAGGGAGAGCCAATAGAATTTGAAGATCTAAAACTACTTCCTTTGCTTGCTGAATTTTTAGATATATTTGACGAACCGCACAACCTACCTCTTACCCGTCAGCATGATCATTATATAATGATTCTTTCAGGCAAATCTCCAGCAAATACTCGGCCATATCAGTATCTACATCTCCAGAAGGATGAAATAGAAAGGATTGTAAAAGAGATGCTTGAAACAAGAGTTATTCGGCCAAGTTGCAACCTCTACTCTTCACCGGTGCTACTTGTATGTAAGAAGGACGGAACATGGCGAATATGCGTTGATTACCGAGCTCTCAATGGCATAACCATCAAGAATAAATACCCTATTCCAGTAGTAGATGAATTGCTAGATGAAAGGGAGCACAAATTTTCACAAAGCTGGACCTTCGATTCGGGTATTATCAAATACGAGTGTACGAAGAAGTCATATCGAAAACCGCCTTTCGAACACACAACGGCCGCTACGAATTTTTACTTTCTTCAACAAAAGGTGGAATATCTTGGGCATATCATATCAGAGGAAGGTGTGACGGTGGACCCCTTCAAAATTGAAGCAATGCAAAACTGGCCTACCCCGAGGAACATAAAATTGCTGCATGGCTTTCTGGGTTTAACAGGCTACTACCGTAAGTTCATGAAAAACTATAGAAAGGTCAGTGTACCACTTACTTCCTTACTGGAAAAAGATGTCTTCCAATGGTTGAATAGAGCCTCCACTGCCTTCGACAAACTTAAGGCAGCCATAACGACGACGCCGGTGCTAGCGCTACCAGATTTCAACCGACCCTTCATCATTGAGGCTGATGCATCTGGAAACAGAATGGGAGACGTTCTTATGTAAGATGGTCGACCACTCATATACATTAGCAAGGCATTGTCTCCCCCCTATCAAAACATGTTAACAAATGATAAGGAGATGCTCGCCATTGTGCACGCAGCAACGAGGTGGAGATCGTACTTGATCAGGCGATGCTTTCAAATCAAGACCGACCATAAAAGTCTAAAATATCTCTTGAAGCAGAAGATATCTTCCCCCCGAGCAGCAAAAATGGGTAACAAAGGTTCTTGGATATGATTATGAAATAACTTACAAAAAGGGGAAAGAGAATGTTGTTGCAGATGCGCTTTTACGGCTACCTAAGCAAGCTGAATTTTTAGCCATTTCACTTTCGACTACTGACTTCCTTGTGGATATTAAGATGGAATGTCAAGAAGATTCGGAGACCAGTAAGATCATACAAAAATTGGAGGAAGCACCAAGCTCCGTGGCTCATTACAATTGGGACTAAAAAGAATTACACTATAAGGGACACATTGTGCTTGTGACAAATTCTACTTGCATTTTCACGAGTAGATTTTGGACAAAGTTATTCCATATGCAGGGTACTAAATTGAAAAGGAGTATGACATATCACCCACAAACCGATGGCTAGACAGAAGTTGTAAATAGGTGCTTGGAGATAGCCCAAAGCCACCCACCAAGTATGACTACCCAAGGAGAACTCCAGACCCAGCTAAGTGCCATTATTGATCGACGGATCGTGATTCAACGACGACGACTCACTACTGAAGTGCTAATACAGCGGGCGAACCTACCAATAGAAGATGTCACTTGGGAGACTATGATGACTTGAAGATCAAATTCTCAGAATTCATGAATCGTCAGCCTCGAGGACAAGGCTGATTTGAAGAGGGCGGGTCTGTTAGGACTCTAGCTAGGAGAGTCCTAATTGAGAGGGACATTCATGTAAAATCTATCTAAGCCGACCCCTATTAAAGAGGTGAAGAGGCCGGCTAGAGTTAGGAGGTTGTTTCTTAGAGAAGAATTAGGAGTTGTAAAGGAATAGGAATCTTGAGTAGGAGTCCTATTAAAAGTTGGTTAGAAGTAGGAGTCTTGAGTAGGAGTCCTATTAGGAGTTAGGGTTTAGAAGCCCTATAAATAGTCATGTATTTCTCCTCTTTTGATAAGCAATATAGATGAATCTTTTCTGCAGCCTTTGAGCAACAACTTGGAGGGAGGAACCCCCATAGAGTTCCAAGGAGGCCGATCTCCTAAAGAGATCAATCCCAAGTTTAGAATCTGCAAGGGTTCTATCACAACTTCACTTAGGCATAGCCTAGGCATTCGTTTGGACCCAAGCATTGGGTAGGCCAGGTGCCTGCCTAGTTCAACTCAGGTCAAGTTGAGCCTGAGTTGAACCAAAATAGTCCTATATGGTTCGATTGAACTAGTTATTTGATGCAAAAATCCTTCTTTCCCACACACGAACTGTGCCCTAACGTAGAAATCCCTCTTTCCCACTTTCTGCATGGTGGTGGAGTTCCTCCCTTCAGCAAATGACGGCAGCGTCTTCCTCCAATGGTAGCAGTGATGTCTTCCTCTGGCAGTAGTGGCGCAACGGCGTCTTCTTTCCCTCCCTCCTAGTGTATCTCTCTCTTTCTCCTTCGTCACCACCAAAAATTCCCCTACCCCCCCCCCCCTAAAATCCCGCTTCCCTCCCTATTCACCATTGCCTTCTTGCACGTTCACCACTGCCTTCTTTGTTGTTATATTTTTATAGGTGTTTCAAGTTTTAGATAAATCAAAGTTGATTATTTCTGTCCAAGTTTGTGAAAACAGCAACTACCTTCTAGGTTAAGTTGACCTGGGAGCTCTCTAGTGGGGCTTGAGCAGCCCTATTTATATTAATTAACCACAGTTGTTTATTTGTGTTAATTATGTTATATAATTTTTAAATTATAATATTCGGGATCACGTTTCGTATAGGGGAGCGCCTTGGGCATTTTGGGACTGTGGTGCCTTTTGACACCAAGCGTTTTTGAATACACTATTATGGACTGAGTGTTAGGTTGAGTGTCGAATAGTTAAGAAATAATATATAAAAAAATTATATAGTTGAGATGAGAATGTTAACGCCGATGTGTGGAGTTATTAGAAAAGATAAGAAAAGAAATGTTTTTATTTGTGTGCAATTTGGTGTCGGTTTGATAGAGAATAAAATGAAAGAGTATCGTTTAAGGTAGTAAGGACATGTGCTCAGAAACATATAGATATGGTAATTAGACTTGGTGAAATAGTTACTATTAGTGACATGAGGATAGGTAGAGGGAGACTTTAAAAGATTCTAATAGTAATTATAAATAATAATTTAAAATTTTAAAGATATGGCTCTTTATATATCTCAATAATGGCAAAAGATTCATGTAACCGATTCTAAATAGTTGGAACTTTATGAATTTGCTATTGTTTTTGTTGCATCATAATTGCACCTTTTTTTTCTTCATATGCTATGGTTCCTTGTCTCTTTACATTTTGATGTTTTAGCTTCACAATATTTCTTGCATATGATTACTGGAAAATTGAAGTACTTTGTGCCAGTATAATAGAGTACACTAGAATATTTGGATCAGATGTTTCTGTTCAAATATAACCCGTCTTTGTAATAGAACTCCGTTGCTTTGTGACTGAGGGTTTTTATTTCATTTGATTGGTTCATTTTGTTCTCCCTGTTTCATGTTTTTTCAGAAGTTTTGTTTGGCTATCCACCCACATAGTAGTAGATTTTTTTTTGCATTAATGCTTTTTGAGATTGAGAATAATATGTTTTTTGTAAAATTCTTGTTATGTGTTTATTTATTTTCTTTCCAGCAAATAGAAGGCTAGTCTATGAAGAAATGAAGAAGGCAGTTGAAAGGGATCGGTCAACAGTGAGAGTTTCTGAGCTATCTAAGCTTGGATTGATGGAAATCACCAGGAAGAGGGTATGCATTGAGGAGACGGTTACAATATTCTCTGATGAACCACATTAACTGAGAAGTGATGGTTTCATAAGTATAAACTTGTTAAGTAGAATTACAACCAAACACATGCAGCATTACAGATAATCTTTTGTAACAAGATGTAAAGCAAGCTTATTTTTATGTGAACTCTCAAATGATAAATAATTTATGTGACCCAGGATTTCATTAATAATATTGATGAAATTTACTTTTTTATTAATTATGGTAACTGAATTGTATATCCAGTACTTTGATTAGCTAAACATTGTATAAATTATAGCTATGAGTTGGATTCTATATTGTGTAGAATTAATTAGAATAAATTATAGCTAAACATTCTATATCCAGTTCCGTAGATCCTTAATGGTTTTATTTCTTTACATTTGTATAGTTATTAGCCATGATATGAGTCAACAAAAGGTGGTTTTGAAACAGAGGCAACAGCAGTTGTAAATTGTGAGGGTGGCTAGAGTGTTGGTAATGATTTCTGTACAACTTGGATTTCACCAGGAAACATGAATTAATTAATGCATGTTGCAGGTCCGCCCGAGTGTGACATTCATGATCAGTGAACCATGCACTTGCTGTCATGCTACTGGTCGTGTGGAAGCTTTAGAAACATCATTCTCAAAGATTGAACACGAAATATGCCGCTTGCTTGTAAGATAAATCTTTTCATTTCTCTCTGATGTTCTAATGCTTCAACTTCTTGTGCTTCCTTAAGAAATGAAGGATAAAGGTTTTGTGTTGATTCCTTATACCTAAAGGAAAAAACCCAGAAAGAGGATTCCTTCCCAACATCGTACACTTCCGTTGTCCTATATTTACTGTTTATATGTGCTATGTGGTTGAACTATATCATCATATATAATTATTTTAAATTATGAGGTGCTTGCTATCTTTGATTTGCTCCTTCAAAACAAACTACTCTTGGCTGTTCTTTGGTGACTCTCATGTAACCTTTAACTGACTTTCTCCATGTACCTACTCGGCCTCGAAGTTCATCTTCTTTCTTGCAGTCTTTTTTATTACTTATTCTGTGGTCCTTATCTTTCTTTGATGTTTCAGGCTGTCTCTAATCAGAAGCCAGACCCTGATAACGCGAAGTCTTGGCCACGGTTTGTGCTAAGGGTGGACCGTTACATGTGCAACTACTTAACATCAGGAAAGCGAACAAAGCTTGCAGTCTTAAGCAGTTGTCTAAAAGTGTGGATTTTATTGAAGGTATACAATGACAGTCATTTCATCCAAGTCAAGATTTATGGTTATGCGGAAATCGTAGTTTTTCTCTAGTAACCAATGGCTGTTGAGTCACTCGTAAGCGCTCTTGCTTCTCCTAAGAATGCTAGAGAATTCGTGGAACAAAAGGTTATATAATCATTGTAGATGGTGGTATAGCAAGCATGATCAATGAGTTGTAATATCACTTGCAGGTGGCCAGAGGATTTCCTCGAGGAACATTTGAGGTGAAACCATTTGCAGATGACAAGGCAAGTGAAGCGAAGCAAGTTGCTATTTCCAGATTGCGGCCTGCAGAAGCTGCTGCTTATATTTCAAGCACCAAGCTCACTCTTTTCCCTGTCAAGAAATGGAAGAGTCGAAAAAAATGAAGGCGCTTTCGATGAGCTATCTCCACTCCCTGAATCAACCATTTGAAAATTTTCTTGTGTAATCGTGGGATTTGAAATCATGGCATATGGAGCTTTATTCTTCACATTTGATAACATAAAGAGGTCATTTATGTGAGCTTTATGTTGGTTATAATAATGAAATTTCTCGAACATTACAATGCTCTTTGTTCTTTGTTAATGATATTAAGGGCAGCTTACTGCCGCACGTGTCTAATAAGCTATCAAAATTTAATTATTTTTAGTCGAAGGTTTAGATTTTTTGAGAGAACTTTTCATGGCCACAGCATGCGCTAAGGTCACCAGGAAGCCTACACGCCCCTCAGCTGATTGATTTTGACACTAGCGAGCGGGAATAAGTAATCCTCAGCTTTGGTTCTGAACTCCCATCTCCTCTTCTCTCGTTAGGGGAAATCCGACACAAAACTAGCCTCTCGTCGGAAGGGCTTTGGCATAAGATTTTTGCTAGTTTTTTTCTCCTCTTAGTCAGGGTTTTTTCTCACCGTCTGAACCTTAGACTTCCAAACTCCTGTTGTTGATCTATATGGGGTTTGGGTTCAACGATCTGATCTGTGGAGGAATTATGCTTTTGCTGTAATAAATATAACTTAGAAAGGAGAAATTAATCTACTTTTACTGTAAATTTAAAGTGTCTAAAATAGAGAACTAAAGTAAAGAGTTCTTTATCTATAATTGCTTAAAAAGTTATCATGCGAGAAGCACAGGTAGATCACTGTAGAACGCTTGCTGTCGGTTTTTTCTTTCTTTCCTCTTCTCACCAATTCGACAACACAACACCTTTGTGGAAGGGGTTGAATATGTCGAGTTTGTTGCTATGTCTTTGGACAGCGAGGACAAAGATAAATATAGTGTTCTACGATGGTTCTCTGCCATAGAATTCTATTGCATGTTGAAAGAGTATCTCTAGATAGAAAATATTGCAGTCGGCTTAGGGGCTACTTTGTTGAGTTCTTTGTTGTCGAGACCTCCTCTTGAGGCTACTATAGAGGGTTAGAAAGACCTCGAGGCCTTTGTCTTGCTAGAAGGGTCGAACACATCTACTTGCATTGGTTGGTAGCCCAAAAAAGGGACGTTAGCAGCTTGATTCCGAGCAGTAACTCCTCCTCTACTTTCTCCTATAGTTCTCTTGACTAGAGTAGGCTCTAGTTGTCGGGGGATCTTACTGGAACAACCTGAGGAATGACCCTTGGTGGCCGTCGACGGAAAGTATCTCTCCATGTAGTAGGATTTTTCTATTGCAAGGCGTCGATGGGAGGTAGAAGGTTGGTTTCAACTGTGATTTGGCTTTTCATGGGGTTGGGTTTTTCTTTCGTGTCTTCAAGGTTGCAATTCCCTTCGTTAAGGAGTCATGATATAGGGAAATTTGGACTCCTTAGAGATGGGGTGATGAGATATTCCTTGTAGGAAAATCTGAGGCGACATTACATGGACAGTGAAAGAACAAAAATAAACTCCTAGAATTCCCATAGAAAAATAAGGTTTCATCGTCGTGCAAGGATTGGTGCGCAAAAACTCACAAAGCCGAAAAATATACGTACAAGGGAGATTGTGTTACCTAGGAAAATCCTATAAATCTATGAGAGAGGATGAAGAATATCAATTGCCCTCCTCTCTAACGGTGATCCATATGGTAGGGGCTATGAATACGCTCCTCAAATCGCTGTACAATCCTCCTCACTATGTGCACTACGCAATCAAGAAGGGGCTATAGGTTGAGGAGAGAGAGAGTAGAGAATAGAAGGTGGCAACAAAAAAGAACCTAGCCCATGACCCTTTGATTCCCTCCTATTTGTCAACTTACCCTAATGAATCCTACCATATTGGGTACTAGTGTTGAATCTCGGATTTTGATTATTAAATTAATTGATAAATTATTTGATATAATCTATGTGTTAAGATAAGTGTGCATAATTAACTACGATAGCAGTAAGGCATAAAGCATATGATGAGCCGGAGTCGAAGATTTGAACGATGTACCGGAAGTGTGTCGGGAGCTCACTAAGAGTTCGTCGAAAGATCGCTAAGAGTTTGTTGGGAGTTCGCTGAGGGTCCGTTGGGAGTTCGCCGAAAGCTCGGTCGGAGGATCGTCGAGAGAAAACTCGACATACCGAATAGAGATTGCTTGCCTTAATCGTAGTTAGTACATTAGTTGAGTTAGGATTGGGAGGTAATCTCACTAACTCGGTTAGGGGCCAACTGGGCCCTTAATAAGGCTGAATTGGGCCGATTGAACAACCCATTCAACACCTAAAGCCACAACCGATAGTGGCACCGCTTGGGACTCAGTCTCCCAATGCTTTAGGCAGTAGTACCGTCGGCAGTTAATACTGTCAGGCGGTGGTACCACCCTTATCAAGCGGTGGTACCACCCTTATCAAGCGGTGGTACCGCTAAAGCTCGGTCTCCGAGCTCTATCAGGTGGTGGTATCGCCTAGACTAGGCAATGGTACCGTCAGTACCCCAAAATCCGGGGATATGACACTTTTTAGCTCAAATTCTGAAGTCATTTGGGCCTATAAATACCCCACCCTTTTCTGCATGAAAGGGTACAAAAGTGTGAACATAATCTTGAATTCTTGGGGTGCTAAAAGTGTTGTAAAAGTGCAAAAGAGTCCTCCTCCTCCCTTTCTAAGTGTTGAGATCATTCAAGAGAGGTGTGAGGCTTGTAAGAGTTATCTCCTAAACCCGTGAAAAGGAGAAAGCATTGTAAAGAGGTGGTTGGTCTTCGCCTATTGAAGGAAGACCATTAATGGACACTAGTGACCTCGACAGAGGAGGAATCAGAAGTGGATGTAGGTCACAATGACCAAACCACTATAAATTCCGGTGTGCTCATTTTCATTCTCCTTTTCATTACTGTCATTTCTTAGATAATTGCTAGTTCTTTCATTCTAAAGTCAAGCACTTTCCGAAATTGATTTTCGATGAACGAAATATTTTACAAACCGACGATTTTCTCCACTACACTAATTCACCCCCCCCTCTTAGTGCCGCTCTTGATCCTAACAATTGGTATTAGAGCTTGGTCACTCTTGTTTGGTTTGAAACCCAAGAGAGATGGCATTTGTCGGCAATCAAGAGAGTCATTCAATTACACATCCTCTCATGTTCAATGGGACGGATTACACATATTGAAAGACTAGAATGAGGATCTTTCTAATTTCAATAGATTTTGAGTTATGGAACCTTGTGGAAAATGACTTTAAAAAGTCTTCTCTTCCAATGAACGATTGGAATGAGTTGGGGAAGAAGACTTTCGCTTTAAACGTCAAGGCTATGAATGCCTTGTTTTGTGCTTTAGATGAAAACAAGTTCAATCGAGTGTCTATTTGTGAAACAACTTTTGATATTTGGCACATACTCGAAATCACTCATGAAGACACTAGTAGAGTAAAGGAGTAAAAAATAAATCTTTTAGTTCATACTTATGAATTTTTTCGGATGAAACCAAGTGAAACTATTGTCGACATGTATACCCGTTTTACGAATGTCGTTAATAATTTAAAAGCTCTTGGCAAATGTTTTTCAAACTTTGAACTTGTTAATAAAATCTTGAGATCCCTTCCAAAGAGTTGGGACCCTAAAGTAATGGTCATTCAAGAGGCCAAGGATTTAAATAATTTTCCTCTCGAAGAACTTATTGAGTCACTAATGACCTATGAAATGACTTACAATGCTCATGAAGAGCTTGAGAACAACCTTCCAAAGAACAAAAAGGATATAACACTAAGAACCCATAAAGTCCACTTGAAAGAAAATTTAAGTGATGAGGACTTTGATGATGACTTGGCACTCTTGATAAGAAAGTTTAAAAAATTTATAAAAATAAATAAATTTAAAAATGACACTAAAAATAAAATAAAACTCAAGAAAGAACAAGTAATATACTATGAATGCAGGAAGCTGGAATATTTTAAAAGCGAATGTCTCCAAGCAAAGAAGAAGCAATCAAAAAAGAAGAAGGCTCTTAAAGCAACTTGGGATGACTCAAGTGCATCCGAAGAAGAGGAGCCAACCAACATAGAGCAAGTTGCTTACTACGCATTAATGGCTATCGGAGATGAGGTAAGTAGTTCATTAGATGCAAATTTATCTTTCGACAAGCTTTTAAGTGCTTTTCATTAATTGTTTGATGAATGTAGATCTTTGATTAAAATGTATAACTCTTTGAAAAAGGATCATACCATTTTAAATGTTGAATTTGAGAAACTTAATCATGATAATCCGTCTTTGCCTCTATGTACTAAGTGTGAACACTTAGAGACACTTAAGAAGAAAAACTTGCTACTCAAAGAAATCTTAGAAAAGTTTGAGGTTAGTAGCAAGTTCTTGAACATGATCCTTACCAATAAGGGTCATGTTCATAGAAGAGGCGTGTTAGGATCGAGAGCACTAAGAGGGGGGGGGGGGGTGAATTAGTGCAGCGGATAACTTTGTACGATTAAAATCGAAAGCTGCGTTTGAACGATAAAGATGGCTCTATATGAAAGTTGATACTAAGCAAGATTGCAGTCAATCTATGCAGGCAGTTTGCAGCTATGAAGAAAACCAGAATATCGGCGCAAACTGAAATCCGACGTTCGTACGAAGAAACAGGTTTACGTCTAAGTGCCGATTCATAAATCACTTCTTTAGATCAAAAGCAGTTTAAGCAGAAGTATAAAGACAGTGTGCTGCTATTGTACAACTCAAAAAGTAATCTGCAAAAAGCAGATTTACGTCTAAACGTAGATTTACGTCTAAACGAAGATTTACGTCTGAACTTTGAAACTCGTTTGTAAACTCGCAGAAGGCAGTATGCAGTTGAAATCAAGACGTAAACGCAAACTGAAATCTGATGATTGTACGAGGAAAGCCGATTTACGTCTAAATGCAGTTTTATGTCTAAATGCAGATTTTCGTCTAAACCTTGAAACTCGTTCGTAAAATTGCAGAAGACAGTTTGCAGTTATAAATAGAATCAAAACGTAAATGTAAACTGCAAAGAAACTCGTTCGTAAAAGCGCAGAAGACAGTTTGCAGTTACAAGTGGAATCAAGACATAAACGTAAACTGTAAAGAAACTCGTTTGTAAAAGCGCAGAAGAGCAGTAGCTATGTAGGAGGTTTGCAGTAGTGATAAAGTGCTCAAAATA